CTATGGATGCTATAAACACACGTATTGTCGAATACGTCTTTACGCAATGCTCTGGAGTGCAACGACCCACTACGAATATCCAACCTCTCGTCGACATAGGACTAGAAGAATCGTTTACGCATTCGCGAAGCCGGTAAACCCATTCGCGAAGCCGGTAAACCTAACAGCGGTGCTGCACCTCTAGAGCACAAGTAACAAGGCTGATGACATGTGCTCGTGCGCTCGATAGGGTTTTGCAGATTGGGTTCTCACAAGCGGACAATTCTAACCAACTTTCCGTCACGAGACCGGTCCGGTCTTTTGGTGGATGGATTCCGGTCCCTTTAGACCCCATTATAAGTTCACACCAGCAATACATTCACGGGGTTCACTACCGCTGCTGACTACTTTGCGTACATTGAACCAATTACTTCTGTGCCTACGTTTTTAATAGTTGTACCAGTTTTCCGTCACGAGACCGGTCCGGTCTCTTGGCGGACGGGTTCTGGTCCCTATTGACCCAATAATAAGCCCATACCACACGAGGAATAGGCTCTTGGAGTTCACTACCGCGTTTCGATAGCTCACTCTGTCATGGCTTTTGGCTATGCCACAGACCACCTATCGCGTGCAAGAGTGTCTATTGCCGCACCCTCAACCATTCTGTAGTGGTTGCTGCGTGGTGCAGCTACATGACATAATACATTCATCTGTGTGTACATTTGACAGTGCAGCTACATGACATGATGCATTCATCTGTCTGTACATTTGACAGCGCAGCTACATGACTATGTTGTTTTCATCTGTGTGTACATTTGATAGTACAGCTACATTACTATGTTGTATTCATCTGTGTGTGTATATGATAATGTATCACCATGTCCCCATAAGGCAGGGGGTGCTGTGCTGTTCGGTACATCTGCGGTGTCTCTCACATGGCTAGTGTATTTGCTGATACTGCCTGCTCCGTTCGGGATCATCTCAGTGAAGGGTGTACTGCCACAGCCTAAGTGTGTCACACCAAGCATACTTCTCGAAAGCTTATTATCTCACTACCCCGTGTTCTCTCACCATTGGTTATACCATGAAAGCTTATTTCATCACATCAAGCATACTTCTCGAAAGCTTATTATCTCACTGCCTCGTTTTTTCTCACCATTTGTTACACCATGAAAGCTTATTTCATCACGGTATTGTGGTGCTTCGTACTTCGTCCGCATCACATCACCTCATTCCTCACTGTCTATCTCTGCCACGGCACCACAAGCAGTTGTCTTGACACCACAAGCACAAGCACAAGCACAAGCACCACAAGCACTTGTCTTGGCATCACAAGCACTTGTCCTAATTGTGCGTGTCAAATCGCACACAACGTCACATACGAGTCATGCCCTTGCTCACTGAATGCAACCTTAGACGATACAACAACACACTTGGTCACCTGCACCTGCCTCTTCCTATGGCTTCTTGTCCCAATCGCTTATTCTCTCACACCCGCCTATCCTCTCACACTTTGCGTATGTGGTTAGGGTTTAGGGTTTAGCACACTTGCGTCGTATGTCTCGTCTGCCTCTCCCCCTCACCAAGGGCTCGTTGCTGCCTAGGCCTTCTACGGTCCTTTCACATTGTATAGCAGGGCAGCCCTCGCTGCACCTGCACTAGGACCCAGGACCACCTGCACCTCAGGACCACCTACACCTCAGGACCACCTGCACCAGGACTCAGGACCACCTGCACCAGAATTCAGGACAACCTGCACCAGGACTCAGGACCACCTGCACCAGGACTCAAGACCACCTGCACCAGGACTCAGGACAACCTGCACCAGGACTCAGGACAACCTGCACCAGGACTCAAGACCACCTGCACCAGGACTCAGGACAACCTGCACCAGAACTCAGGACCACCTGCACCAGGACTCAGGACAACCTGCACCAGGACTCAGAACAACCTGCACCAGGACTCAAGACCACCTGCACCAGGACTCAGGACCACCTGCACCAGGACTCAAGACCACCTGCACCAGGACTCAGGACCACCTTCACCAGGACTCAAGACCACCTGCACCAGGACTAAGGACCACCTGCACCTGGACTCAGGACCACCTGCACCAGGACCCAAGACCACCTGCACCAGGACTCAGGACCACCTGCACCTGGACTCAGGACCACCTGCACCAGGACTCAGGACCACCTTCACCAGGACTCAAGACCACCTGCACCAGGACTCAGGACAACCTGCACCAGGACTCAGGACAACCTGCACCAGGACTCAGGTCTCACCTAGGGGTTACGGGTGCGCCCTAGCATGACCTATACTATACTCAAGAGCATCAGTGTAGTGACTTTTGCAAGTGTCTGGTTGCTCCCTCTAGTTATATCTCAGCGTGTAGGTCTTGCGTTGCGCAGGCACCCTCTCCTACTGTGGTCTAGAGCCACCGGCGATTGCTTATTCCCACACAGGCGTTACATGGGGTGATGGCTTTTTTCCACACGTGTCCAAATACGCTGATATCGCGTTCACGGGACGTTTGTCAACAGATGTGAAGACACGCGTGCCCGGTTTAGAAACCGTTACAGAACGCTTTAAACTCAAAAGCCCGGTGTTGTGATTGCGTATCGTTAACGTAAATTCGGCTATGATTGCGCATCCTTTACGTAAACTCAGTGTTGTGATTGCGCATCCTTTACGTAAACTCGGTGTTGTGATTGCGCATCCTTTACGTAAACTAACTGTTGTGATTGCGTATCGTTAACGTAAACCCAGTGTTGTGATTGTGCATCCTTTACGTAAACTAAGTGTGTTGTGATTGCGTATCGTTGACGTAAACTCGGAGTTGTGTTTGCTTATTCCCACACGTGTCGTTATACGCTACACACAACTTCGAGCTGATTCTCAAACATCGTAGAAACCGAGACGGCACTGATGTATATAGCGACTGAATCTTTAAACCTATGCTGTCACGGCTTATTTCCACACATGTGCTTTAAACCTTATCACGCTGCTAGGACTTATTTCCACACATGTGCTTTAAATCTTCGCACGTTGCTAGGGTTTGTTTTCCAACAGAACTGGAAGCTGTGACCGTCCTCGTGTACAGCTTGAGACGACCCTGAAGTACCTTACTATTCCATGTGATGACTCATAACCAGGACTTCCCATATACACACCCTATATTTTGACTCATATACAGGACTTCCCATATAACCACCCTATGTGATGACTCATATCCAGGACTTCCCATGTACATCTCCTACACCATCATGGCTTGCCATGTGATGACTCATATCCAGGTCTTCCCATATACACTCCCTATGTGATGACTCATATCCAGGACTCCCCATGTACACCTACACCGTCAGGGCTTGTTTTCCAACCGAATTGAAGACTGAGACGGCCATTGTGTACAGCCTGATAGGGCCCACAAAGGAGTGCAGGACGCGAATGATGTCTGTCATCTGCGTGTACTCTAACTCACCCTGAGAGGAGAAGAAGGATGCACAGGTGAGAAGAGATAGATGGATATAACCAATGGGACATGTCGTTGTTCGCTTGAGAAATGGGTGTATTATGAATGGATGTGTATACATAACTGTTCACAGTGCACTGCAGTGTGTCTTGAGGAACGGGCTATGAATAGAACGTGTGACGGTCGCACGTTTGTGATACAACGGATACTCTTAGTAAAATACACACTTAATATAATACACATTCTCATAATACATTAAATGTAGTTGTATTCAAAGCCAGTACAGTCCTCTACAAAGGAACACATAGAAGTAATAAGGCTTGTGCTTCCGGTGGCTGAGGCCCTATCGGTACGAGACAGACGCTCGGTTGTGTTAAGACTATCTCTTAGATTGATGGCGAATACAGTACAACGTACACTCCTAATATAATATATTAAATGTAGCTGTATGGTTAACCGACTATCTTTTAGATTGATGGTGAATACAGTACAACGGACACTCTTAATATAATATATTAAATGTAGCTGTATGGCTAACCGACTATCTTTTAGATTGATGGTGAATACAGTACAACGGACACTCTTAATATAATATATTAAATGTAGCTGTATGGTTAACCGACGACAACGACGACGACTTTGATTGTCCCCGTGGCAACCAGTCCTATTACGACAGGACACGACAGGGCTAGGGTGTACATGCCACGTGCGCATGATCAACACAGTGAGTGTGGATGTATACATTTCACATGAGCTCGGTATAAACGTGGTTCATGCACCTGGCAGGGTTACCCAGGGACCCATCCCCGGACTTCCCACAGCACTTTCGGACGTTCAAACGGTCCAAAAAAACTTTCTTGGTCCCAAAAAACTTAGTTTTGTCGTTTTATGTTATAGGTGTGGACCTAAGATACCTCACACATCGCCAGGCCCCACTCCGCGAACATGCACAGTTTAGTACGTGCATCGT